TCAAAAAGATATCCCAATATGATTGAAGTCGTCTTACTTACCCAAGAGAGAGAGAAAGAGAAGTCGTCAACTCGAGGAGAGCATCAAATCTATTTTCTAGGACAATGGCAGGAAAGTCATTAATGAAATATAAAATATCCCCCCAAAGAAAAAAAAAAATACTACTTTAAGTTTGATGGTATCACAAAATATTTAAGCATGAGTTCGGTAACTCACGTCATACTACTCGGGTCGGGAGTTCAGCTCATCTATATTATTTATAGACCTCGACCTCAGACTTCAACTCCCTGTGTCCACATCTCAAGGAAGATTGTGCAAATGACAGCTACACCCCACCGAGTCCCTCTTTTTGTGGCATCAATCACCAATAGCCGCAAGTCTTGTTGTGTAATAAGGGCGACCGTTACAAGGGAGGAGTGAGGATCTCGCCTCAGATCAAGCAAAGTCCAAGAACAACTATAAATAGGAAGCAAAACCCTCGAAAGTAAAAAAAAAAGTCATGGTAGCCTTACAAAAATATTATCTGTAAATTTACACAGTAATCAATAAATTCAGGGTCAGGAGACTTCTTTGAGAGTGAATTAGTCGAACTCCCGAGTTGGTAAACCATTATAAACATTGTGCGTGATCACCTACTTATCTCAAATTACTATTCCTTAGAGTTTTAGAATTCAGATTGAACTGAATCCAACTGCTCAATACATTTTATATTTACATCACTGTTCAATAGTGATAAGAACATCATCAGAGTTTGATGATGTTATTAACATGACTGGACAAAGTTATGAATATAAGGTACACTGAATAGTTCAGTCTGAGCTCCAAGACTCTAAGGAATAGGGTTTTTTTAAGGATAAATGGATGATTACGCACAGTGTTTATAATGGTTCACCAATTCGAGAGCTCGACTAACCACTCTTAAAGGAGGCTCTTGCTCCTGAATCTATTAATCATTGCATGTGGTTTACATAGAGTATTTTGAAATGCTACAATGGTTATATATCTCCCATCTCTAGAGGGTTTTGCCTCTTATTTATAGATAATTCTGGGTTTCGCTTGATCTGGGGCGAGATCCTCGACCCTTCCTCGTAATAGTTGTCCTTTATTGCGCAACAAGACTTGCGCCTATTGGGTGATTGACGCTCGAAAGATGGGGTACTTGGTGGGATCCTACAGTCCTTTGAACAAAATTTCTTGAGATTTGGACATTGGGAGTTAAGGTCTAAGGTCGGGGTCCACAAGTAATACTGATGGCCTGAGCTCCCGAACTAGTAAGCATGACCTGGGGAATCGAACTCATCCTTAGATATTTTATGGTACCGTAAGAGTTATTGCTAATTTGATTATAAGGAAGAATAATTGTAGATTTGAATAAAAAGAAAAATAATGTGTCTTCAAGATTATAAGCTTGACCAGTCGAATTTCTAAACTCATGGAGAATTTTTTAGGGTAAATTACACTTAAATCTCTTGATATTTAGTTTTATTACAAAGACACCCCCTCACATTTCAAAAATTACACAGAACTAGACATTTAAAACTTATAACAACTACACCCCCTCCAACTAACAAACGTTTGAATGGTTCACGATCAAAACTGATGTAATCAATAATAATTTATAGAACACCAAAAATACCCTTTAAAATTAAGTTTAAAATTTCAAATAATTATTTTTCTTATCGCAAAATTTATTCTATGTTTTTTTTGAAGGAAAAGAGGGAAGAGAACTTGAACCTTTGACCTTAAGAAGGCAAAATCTTCACAAGATAAAAAGTATAATTAGACCAAAGGCCCGTTGGTGCAAGATTTATTTCATCTCTCATTTATTATTTCTCTATTTTATATTTCATAATCTATCAAATTAATAAGATAAATACTAGAATTCTTTGTTTATTATATAACATATTAATGTAAATTCTATTTATCAATCAGATTTGTTCCAAATCCACCATTACCACCATTAGCGGTGTTCACCCTACCCTATGGGTAGAAATATAGTCTTCCGTCTTCTTATCCGATTCTTTACAGAAAACTTTTATTTTCCCAACCCTACCCGATCAAGTATGATATTTTTACCCCGAATAATCGGGTAGGAAGTCGGGTGAACACTTTTGTAGTTATTAATTTTTAGATCATTTTAACAATTCAATTAAATAACATGCACAAATTTAACAACAAAATAAATCAATAATAGTAAAACGTAAAACAACTACAACAAAAATTATAATAAAACACAAAAAAACATAAACATCAATCCATCATAATTATTTTCAACAAAATGGATCAGTAATTATTTTCTTCGAGTTGCCCTTCACAAATGCATCAGAATCCACACTCACACTACTTATAAACAAAAGAAATTATTGACAGAACCTCCAAAATAGAACAAATTCAGAACAAACAAAATGGAACAAATTCAGAATTTCTTAAAGAAATCATGAAAGAAAAAAAATAGACAAATTCAAAATTTGAAATTCTTAGATACTTTGATTTTTTAGATACTTAGATACTCTAGTTTTTTAGATACTCTGATTTTTTAGTCTTAGATACTTAGGTACTTTGATTTGAAATTCAGAATTTCTTAGATACTCTGTTTGTTAATACACTCTCTTCAAGTACTTTACTTTCACACTCCAATTGTCAACCCTAAAGACTCCCCTTTCACATAGAACCCAACTCTAGATACTCTGTTTGCAATCCAAAAATGTAGTGAAGGCCTGTTCGTAACCCAAAAATAGCAAACAAAGTCTATTCATAACCCAAACAGAGATAGAAGAGAGCCTCCAAATTGCGCCCAAACAGAGACAAAGAGAGAGATTGACAGAGAGAAAGAGAGAGAGATAATACCTGGGAGGTCGGGACTGAGCAATGAAGATTTGAGCTATAGAAGCTTGAGCGAGAGTGATGAAAGCCTGAGCGATGATAGAATGTAGAAATTGATAGGTATTCCGAATTCCTATTCGATTTAATTGAAAGACCAAAATTTTTTTTGTATTCCTATTCGATTTTTTCGGCTAACCGTTTAGTAGGATCGAGTAAGATAGGAAATTACGGCTAATCAAAAATTTGAACACCCCCAACCACCATCACAGTTAACCATCCCCCATTGTCGCTTCCACACCGCAGAAACCACCACCACCTCTTCCTCTTCCTCTTCCTCGTCCTCCTTATCCTCTCTCTTTTCACACACATACATAGAGCACTGCCCTTACCACCACCACAGTGGCTTTCAGAAACACCAGACACCAACCACCACCAAACCAGCTCTCTCTCTCTCAAAGTACGTCTGCCCTTCAACGCCATTATTACCCAATACCCAGACCCCCTAGCCAAACCTGTTACCACCCCTCCTATAGATCAGATTCCACAACTCACCACCAACCCTTGATCTAAAAACTCCCAAGTTTTCAATCATTGCTCAAGCAAGGAATTAGATCTGGGATATGATCCTAGATCTGTTGTGTTTAGGTGGTGATTCAATTTCAGATCTACAATAAAATCTAGTGTGTGTAGAATTGGATCCGTGATGGGTTTCATATTAGGAGAGATAGTGGTATTGATTGTGGGTGGGTCTCTTTGGCATTGGCGTTGTTTGTTGGATTCGGTACTATTTTTGGATTTTAGGCGGCGATGGTAATGGATATTGGTAACGATGGGGTGGGGGAAGAGTGGTTGGTGTTGTGTCGTTGGGTGTTAAGGGTTCTCAGAGAAAGAGAGAGAGAGAAAGACTTGGCTAATGAGTTTGATTTTTTTAATTTTTAATTAATTAAATGAAGGGTAAGATAGTCTTTTTGTTAATACCGTTAATGTGTCTATCTATTGGGGTCTCAGTATAGTTTTTTAAATGTGAGGAGGTATTTGTGTAATAAAGTCAAATGTGAGGGAGTGTGAGTGTAATTTACCCAATTTTTTATGTCATATTTGCTCTTCTTTCGTGTATGAATTCTGAAACTCTTTAAAAGTTTTGTGAAATATAATAAATTAACGTATCTTGTGGCGTAAAGATTATACTTGGTCATAGCTTGGTACCATATATTTTTCTTTTTTCTTATTACACCAAGGTGGTCTTGATTTGTTTTTCTTCAATGCTGATCTCATCATATATCTGTATAGAATAACTTGGATATAATGTAATTCTCAATTACCTAACTCAAATAGGTAAGTATGAAAAAGGAAAATAGAGTAATACTACTTTAACGTAATTTGCTAATTTAATTTACCGTAATTGTAAGGTCAATAAATCGTGTCAGATAAGACGAGTTTGTGTTAAATCATAGCAGATTTATATTAAAAAAAATTTCATATATATTCGATTTGTTTATTAATTCGTGTTTAACGAATCGTGTTATATCGGATTCATATTATATATGAGTGATTTATAACTAATATATAAACGAGTCGTGTTGTATTTTTTTTTTAATATTGACTTCATCAATACCCAATTCGTTTATTAATTGTGTCGGGTCAGGTCCACTCATTTACTAAATGGATGGCTTAAGAAAAACAACAAGTTGTAATTTTATATCGTGATAATGAATCGTGTCATATTTTAACATCCTTAATAATTGTTAGATTAACAATAAGTTGTAATTTTAAACGAAACCCACATGCAATTCAACCGTTATAATAGACTTGGTTATTAAATTAAATTAATAAATTATATGTTTATTAATAAAAAAAACTAAGTATCATTCTCTTAATTATTTTTTTTCTTTCAAACTAATTTATTAAATACTCCAAACAAATCATAATTTCCAAATCTCAATCATCAAAATCTTATTCTTGGTCAATGATGACCTAAAAACCTAAAGATTATCTGACTCAAACGCAAATCCTACGACTTATAATTCCTTAAACCACGTAACTCCAAGTTGTCCCTTACCCCCTCTTCATTTTTCCCCTTCATGTTCCGGGAAAATCTTCCTCAATCCGTTAAAATTTCAGATCCTTTGACTCTCTCTCTCTCTCTCCAAAAACCCATAGTCAAACATAAGATCAACTTCACTCGGATTCAACCTGGGTCCCACGAGCGTCCACACCCAGACCTGAACTTCATTTTGTGTTTCCATTCTCGTTTCCGCTTCGTTTCGTCATTTGACCGACCCGCTAGGGATTCCTCTTCCTCTTTAACGTCTTCAACTTCAATTTCATCTCCGGTTGAAGAGAGAGAGAGAGAAGGATGAGATGGACCCACATGGCGCATATCTAAGTAGCGCAAGACAAGGCGTAAATTTCTCAAACCCTCCTATTTTGCTCTCTCATTTCTATCCGTTTACACCTTTTCCAAACTCTAAGAGAGAGAGAAACTAGAGATAGAAAGCTCTAAAAGCATTTGGGTTCTTTCATCTCATTATCTGAATCTGAGAATCCGGAAAATAGTGGCAAGTTATCATTGTCTTCATTGAATTTTGGAGAGTTTATCGAGGGAGAAGAATTTGGTACTGAAGTTTTGTTAAAGAATTTATCTTGAGGTGGGCATCGATTTTCCGGGGTGTTGAAGCTGATTCGATCTGGGATTTTTGGCGGATTCACAGAGCTAAGAAAAGGGTATGTTTCTGCTGCTTCAATTTTCAATTCTAGGGTTTCACTCTTGAGCTCCCTGTTCTGGGTTTGTCTCTTCACCATTATGATTACTGGTTTCTGAGCTTGAAATTGAAACTGTTTTGGAGATTATTATGAAGCTATAAAATGGTGTAAATTTGTGGGATATAGGGTAGAAACGGAAGGAAGGGTTTGCATTTTTTAGCTAAATTGTAAGTTGAAACAATGGATAACTCGAACCGGTCGATGAATAGGAATGATAATGATCATTTGGGTGTGAACAAGATGGGGAAAAATATACGAAAAAGCCCATTACACCAACCCAATTTTACTAATACGGCAAGGCAACAACCTCAACCCCAGGTTTACAATATAAACAAGAATGATTTTCGGAACATTGTCCAGCAGTTGACGGGTTCTCCATCTCAAGAGCCACTGCCTAGACCTCCCCAGAACTCTCCCAAACCACCTAGTATGCGGTTACAGAAGATCAGGCCTCCACCACTGACTCCAATAAACCGATCCAATATTCCCATTCATCCTCAGGCACCAGCACAGCCACCAGCGGCGGTTCCTTATGGTAATCACTTTGTTAGACCTCCTACTCACTTTGGTCAACCCTTGCCCACCATGTTCCCGCCTTTGACTCCCAGCGATTCTTTTTGGCCAAATATAGGTGACTCTCCCGTCTCAGCTTACATGCGTTACCTTCAAAATTCCATCCTAGATTCAGGGCCAAGACAACCCCAATCTCAACCTTTTCCTCACTCACATCCCCAATTTCCAGGCCAATTTCATACCCAGCCACCGCTCTCTGGATTACTTCCTAACCCCGCTGCCCCTCTTCTCCCATCCCCTCGAATGAATGGTCCTCCTCCTCTTCCGTCTCTGAGGATGAATGGTCCTCCTCCTCCCCTTCCATCTCCGCGGGGGAATGGTCCTCCTCTTTTACCCTCACCTACCTCTCAGTTCCTTTTGCCATCGCCTAGTGGTTTCTTAAACTTGTTTTCCCCCCGTTCACCTTATCCGTTGCTTTCTCCCGGGTATCAGCAACCTCCACCGCTGACTCCAAACTTTTCATTTTCTCCCATTGCTCAATCAGGGATCTTAGGTTCTGGACCTCAGCCACCGCCTTCTCCTGGCTATGGATTTCCATTGTCTCCAGGATTTTTCCACATTTCAAGTCCAAGATGGAGGGAGCAATAGCCCTAGACAGAAAGCTGCTAACCGAGAGGTTTCCATGATTGATTATTGCAAAGAGTTTCTTCATGATGACTTGCATCATCTTCTCATGGTAGCTTCAATTGTACATGCACCCTGTCAGCATTAGAAGTCCTTTTGGAAGTATGTAGCCTGTTGTTTACCGTTGTTTACGGTTTGTTAATACCCATTTCAGTGACATGTTTTTGGATATCGTTTCTGTAACAGCTGGAACCTTTATTTTTCTTGTACAATTTTCACTTTAGGTGATGTAGTGAAGATCGTGCAACTCCTCTGGATGACAAGATATAGGATTTACAGATATTGAAAATTAATGTGTAGGCTCTCTGCTGGAAGCGTTTTTTCTGTCCTTGTAATGTTTAGGATTAAACTTCATTTTGTTGGAAGTAATGTTTTTCTTCATTGCCATCCCATTAGAGGGTTTTCAAGGTTATGATCTCGACATGGCATCGGCATTGATATTGGTATGGTTGTGAATTTCAAGGAGAACATTGTGTTGGTGAGAACATCAATGCTAGAAACTAAGGAAAAAGTGGTGTGTACATTTTCCTTAATTTACCTCTCATGGTTGGCCTTCACTCATGATCTCTCAAAAATGTTTCCTTTAATAAAATTTTTGTGTGTATCAAAATAAAAAATGGTCTCACGAGATGTATTTGCTCTATAAAATTTTGTACTGGATTAAATTATGTGCCATTTGGATAAGTATATCATTTCTACATCCGCTGAAAGCCTTTCTTCCTGATTGAAAGTAATTTTCATCCACTATGGATGATCCTTTTGGCTCACCACAGTAGGTTTGTTTTTTGGTGCTAAACATTATGCTTCTTATCATGTCCCTTTTTTAGGTTTGATCTCCTATTGCCAGTTGGCAAAAATTGGAAGTGATTATTTCCAGTCTAAAGAAAAATAGTGAAGATGATTCTTGGCCCTGCTGTTCATACATGATGATTATGATGTTTACAATGTTATTTATGTAATCATTCTCCGTTATCTGTGCCATCTACTTTGGTGCTTCCAAGTATAATCTGAATTCGGCTCATCTCTCTATCTGCCATATGTATGTACTATTCTTTTAATTATAAATGGAGTGATGGATTTTGACCACTAGCTGCTAGCTTGAGCGACATTTCCTACCTGCCCAAAAGGGAAAAAGAGGATGATGGTATTTTTTTTTTGCGGAGTTTGGGGGGTAAGGTTGGAGAGTTTCAAGTTTTGCAAGGTTCAAGATGGGACAGCGGCACAAAGGTGCGTAATCAGTCTTGTCCCTGTTGACCAAGGGTGTTGGGAAAGGTGAACTGCTTGCGGACCTAACATCAGCATTATTTGCACAAACTAACTTCTCCCATATTTGACTCTACCACCTCGTGATTGTGAGGAACATTTATTGGTTCACCAGCTAATGATCCCTGAGACGGGACAGCGATGCAATGGTTTTTATTTTTATCTCTAAAAGGAAAGGTTTATTGAAGGATATTGAGGCACTGCATCATGTGTCCGTTATGCTTGATCGTAATTACTTGATGTGTGAGAGCTGATCACTACGTGCATGAATGAATTAGAAGAAATTGTTACCAATTTGGCTATGAATCTCAATTACAACTTTTTAGTGTACTGATTTCTGCACAAGACTGATGTATAGCTTTATATGTTCTTCAAATAGTTTTGGCGAGTGCTTCAATTTTTGTTCCTTTTTTGTCTTTGTATGTCGGAGTCAGTTCTTTGGGTATAATTATACTCTCTTACCTCCAGTGTAATTGTCGAGTTCACTTGTCTATTTTCATCTGATTTATACATATGACCGTTTAGTCTGTTTCCTCCATTGTCTAGTTACATGTTGATATGAAGTATAAATGAGTTTCACTTACTGCAATTACCATGAGACAATCTTCTGTATACCTGTAATTTTCTTGAGGAATAATGTCAAAATTCTACGCACGAAAATTAATTGTCTGCATTTAGCTTGGTAAACATTAGAGAAGTATATCAATGATGGTTTTCTCAGTATTTAGAGATCTATGTCGAGATCGTGTGTCAATTAGTTGTTCTTTTCTTGGTGTACTGATATTTTTTTTTATTGACTTTGGCTCGTCTGGTTATCTATTTGTACAAAGGACTTCCCTGTATTTGTGGCAAATCTCAGTGAAGCCTAACTAACAGCTGAGTAGTCCTGCTGCAGGGTGCCTGCTAACTGAAAACCTGTGATTCATGGTTGTCCTCTACGGCAACTTATATGGCCTAACTTTCACCTTGGCACAGCTGCACAAGAATGTGTGATACCTTAGATGTTAGAATATGTTGAGAGTTGTTAACAATACTAAGAAAAATTATGTGTTTGCTTATCTCCGACCTATTCAGGGCTCTAGTTGCCAGAAACAGTTTTTCTTTCCTTCTTCCACCTCATCCTTCTCTTCTTCTCCCTAAATTAATTTCCTTTCTTCTTCCTTTGCTTCTTTCTCCGTATTGATGCTATTTCATTGCAAGCATGTAATGTTTATTTCAATGCCAAGGTCGTTCACTGCTGGGACTTCTAGGGTATCCTAATCATTTTGCGCTCCAGGCTTTCCTCACTCAGTGTTGGTGTCAGCCCAGCAGATGCTTTGGGTGTTGGTCTTCTTTCCAATCTCTACTCATTTTACCATTCCACCAGAATTCCCTTCTGCCCCTACCATTATTAAGTTTTCTTTATCGTTTTGTGTTGACATTTGTACCTCACGCTGTGCAGACAGGTCTGGCCTTCCAGGTATAAGCACTGAAACTCATCCAAGATACCTTCATTGTGGCGTATTACGTGTTAAGGTGTATTCTGGTCAGTTCCCAGCAAATGTGCACATTTTTTGTTGCCTGCTGTCGTACAATGGGCAACAAAACTTTAACATAGCTTATATCCATATAGCCTCTTGGTGGGTGTTGGTTGTTGTTTACAAGTGGAGGAATACTTTAACATAGATTATATCCCTATAGCTGCGCGACCCCACACCCACACAGAGAGTGCAAGCTGTGGTTGTGGTAGGTCGAGGGCCGGCTCGCACACAAATACACACACAGACTTCCTTTACAATAATAAACGACGAAACCTTGTCCACCCAAATTGCATAGAACATGATTTTCCCCCCCTCATAGATGTAACAGGTATCTGAGTTTTCTAGAGTACTCGACTAATTCTACCAAATACATGGCATCTCTTCCTTCTCATATGCACCCGACAAAATATTGTGTTTCTAGAAACTATAATAAGATTAATGCTTCCAGGGAAATTTAGAAAAACTCCATTACATAGTAAAACTATTCAAATTAAGGCAAATATTGTTAGGAGATCTTTTCTATCTTTAGTGGAATTCAATCAAGAACAATACACTTGCTTTGAATGACTTCAAGGGCTAAAATATCTCCCTTTTTTTTTCCTTTGTATTGTAGTATGAGATGTTCATGTCAGTTTACGCATACTTTGACTAATCTCATTTTCGGTCAACAGATTATTCACACTAAAAGTAGAGAATTCATTAAGGATAAATTTTTATCATCCGGCAAAGGAGTTGCCAAATTTCCATGCTAAAATATCAATGTTATCTCTACCTTCAAATATGTTTGATAATGTCAACATCAAAACCCATGAAAAGTAGGGAAAAGGAGAGTAGAGAACATGTCCTAGTGAAGAAAGAGAATGGCATGAGTGGGATCCACAAAGAAAGCCTAAGGATTGGATAATGCTTACCCTTTTTTGTCCCAAACATTGACTATAAATGTATGCCCCCCCCCCCCCCCCCCCCCCCCCCCCCCTTTATTCAATGCCTTCACTCTCATTCTAGCCACTAATTTTCTCCAAAGAGAGGAATTAAATAAGCAAAAGAAAATGCCGCAAATTGAGGCAAAGATTCTTCAACAACCACTAATATTTCTCTCTAAAGCTAGACTTTGTAGCTTTTATGCTCTCTTTTTCTTAAGTGAATCTATGAATGCAACTTATTTTCAAAACCCTACTTATAAGGAAATGTTTTTTTTTTTGGTCACTGTTTGAAATTTTCATTAGGGAGGAGTTAATGACATTCGAACCCGCAATTTAATAGTCCAATAATGAGCCACGGAGCAATTGGGCCACTGCCGATCCTTAAAAACGTTATACATAAAGTTAGATATAGGTAATTATACTTTCACTTGATTGATGTCAAATATTTAATATCATAACATCCATCGTGCGCTTGTAATTGACATCCATGACAATTCACTCTATCAATACTAACTATCAATATTTCTATTTCTCAAAAAGTTTACGCCTATCATTTTAATATGGTCTATAAATCTTTCCTTTTATGATGACGACCATAATACCACAGCCACACAATGTTTTTAATCTAACCCTCGTATAAAATAATTTAAATTCATAAAAATAAAAACTCACCCTTAAAAAATGACTTAGCTCATGTGTAGGGCAAAAAATTGCACAATCACTGAAATATGTTGAGGTATGTCTCTGGTCTTCGAATATCATCCGGTCCATGAAATGCAAAATCAGAGAGAGGTTAGAGGGACCTCCGACGTTAAGTTAGGGGAGGTCCCTCCGATGCCTAAGTCAGTATTGCGATCAATACATGAATAAGTTAGTGTACAAAATTAGAAAAATAATATAGGGGTGTGTGTGTGTTTGTGAAGTATGGAGCCGAGGTGCTCATACTTGAGGTCCCCACAACCTTTGGGTCTTCACCCATGTTTATAGAAAAAATGGAGAGCTACTTACCATTGAGAGACCATGTTTCTTGGGTTGATACATTCTTGATATGTGTCTTTGCAGGTATTAAAAATTGTGTTTAACTCCAATTGGTCAATCGACAAAATTGACAGTTTTGTATTATCTTGAGAGGATAAATTATAGATACTATTATAATACATTCATAAGATGGGGTCCTCCCATTGATACAAAATATGATCAATCCATGTTGACACACGGGATCATCACAATCTCTCTCTGTATGTCTCCTAATTTATCTTCCTTTAATTGACAAGTTGGCAACTTGCAACCTACCACAATGAGGGAGTCACTTTCTTGGACTTGTTTGTCAAGTCATGCCCTAGTTATTGCTCTTCACGTGGTCTAGACCATCAGCAAAGTTTCTTCTTCCCATGTGTGATTAATGTATAAAGTTGATGACCCATCAAGCAATTTGTTCATCACATCAATGCTATAGGTGTACAATGGATATTCATGTGTCCTGTTATGGTATCCACATATGCTTTTTTTAGCAACCTACTTTTAGTTTTGATCAAAGAAGACTGACAGTATTAAGTTTTTTATTTTATTATTTTTAATTAATAGTTATAAATACTTTAAATCAAATATATGGTTGAAAAATGGATACCATAATCTTTACCTTTCAAGAAAAGTTTTGACAAGCCAAATGATTAGGATATTGAGCCCATTTGGAGCTGATTTTTTTTTTTTTTTGGACGAAACAGAGATTTAAAAAGTGAAATAAAAACCTGATAAAAAAATTGCCCAATAAATCCAGATCCAAACGAATCATGCTGCTTAAAAGACCCATTATACTGTTTTCATCATGCAAATATAACAGTTAACACCTTTCCTTGAACTGCCTCCACCTGCATATCAGTTTGTCCATTCCAATAGCAGATAAAGATTTCACATCCTCAACATTCCCCTTACTTTTTTCCTCTTTGTTTTTCCCTTCAACTTTTCCTTACATAATTGAGGAGAGAGATTAACTTTCAAAAGAAAACTCCAACATTAAATGTTAATACTAAAATAACCAACAAAATCTTATCAATTTTTGGGGTAAAAAACATAATTTCAATGATGAAATTAGCAAATAATCGAATATGCATTCAAGAAGGATTCATTGTGATCAACAGTAGAGAGATTGTCAATCAAAAACTGTCGGAAATATAGAATCATATATACCCCCAACATCCCACAAACCAAAATCACATGACTCAAAACAAATGAATTTGTGATCCAAAATTGCCAAATTTTTGATTGCAAATTATAATTCAAACCGCAACTCGATTGATAATCCAAGTAATTCCAAATTGTAAGTCTAACCCTAAATTGTCATCTTAACTTGTTATTTTTATATTTTAATTTGTTATGATTTCAATTTTTCCAAAAATACAAATATACAATTACTAGTTTCTATAATGCATGTACAACCATTTGCCTTGGATTACTATATGCTTTGGGTATTTTTATAAAAAATATAAGATAAATATTAGTTTACTATGTGTATATAAATATTTAGTCATATAATTTCATGTAATAGTGAAGATAATCTCGATAATAATTATAACACGAGTTATGGTTCAAAATAGCATACCAACTAAGACTATCTTTATCGTATCATGTATTGAAAAAAATATTGAATTGCATACATATGCCCGCACTCTATGTACCAAGGGAAAGTCTACGATACCTTAAAAAATAATTTGGTATGATATCAAAAGTTATTTTTTTAATGGCAAGGGTTAAACATTTGAAAGATAAAATTACAACTAAGGGACGTTCGTGATCTACCATGATCGATCACTAGAGTCCCTCACGCAGTTGTAAATTCTCATTCATGAGTTATAACTTAATCTTTAAAGAAGTTATAATTTTCATATTCGATCCCAATGTTTTATAATCGATTTCGCCCTTTTGAAGTTATAACTTACACATCATAAATTCCATGTACCAAATTAGCTTAGATTCAAATAATTTTTACAATTTTATTTTCGCATATAAAAAGATAAATATATGCAGTAACTCACAATTAAGATTGACAATCAAGCTGAGTTACTTGAGTTTAGTTCAGTTTTGGCTCATTTTTTAAATCAGTTGAATTCGAATAATTTTTTAAACTCATTTTTTTTGAACTATCCACACAACTAAAAAAAAATTAAATTTAAACAATTTTTTAAACGAACTCCACAGCCTCAACTCGAATACACAAAACTCGACTAAACTATCGGGCATACTCACGATGTGGACAAACTGTCTACCCTATACCCTCCATAAAATATACGTGGTGGTGGAAGCATATAGCCATCAATTCCATCTACAAACCCACACTACCAACCAAATCACTGTCATTGATTGGTTGCAGTTTCAAAAGTGGGACCGAAACCTGAGGGGTGGTTTAGGCTGTAGGGCTCTATGAATAGGATAGAACAGTCTGTTTCAAAAGTGGGTCCGAAACCCAGGGGTAGTTTAGGCTGTAGGGCTCTATGGATAGGATAGAATACCCTGTACATGGATTGGAGGATCTGAAAAAGAACATTTAGTATGGCAAAATACCCTTAACATTTATTTTCGGTAAGGAAAAAAAACAAGAGAGTACTTTCATCCAAACTCGTAATCTTAAAATTCATATTGCCTAATTCAAACGGAGGAGACAATACGCTAATCTCATTCAATTGTACCATCTCACACTGACCCCAAAATCTCAAAAGAAAACTCTCCACTCTCCCCCCCCCCTCTCTCACACACATACAGATAAAAAGAATTGTGTACAATACTAAAAAAATTTTGATACCATATTGATATTTATCATTTTTATGAGTATTTTTATTATTATTATTATATGTATTTTTTTATGGTATCCAAAAAAAAAATCAAGTGCAAAGGCCAGCCAAGAGAGGCCTCAAGGAGTATCAAATAAATAAATATTTTATATTCATCTTTAAACAGCGTAAGTTTTTAAAGTAGGCTGCCATTTTCAGTTGGATACTAATACCATACATTCACTAGAAAAAGGAAAAAAAAAGGGAGGAATTTCATAGGTTGTACTACTTTGAAAGAAAATTGGACATTGATGCCTACTGAAGTTGTAAAATTTAGACTAATAGACAAGTAGGCTATCCAATCTTCTGAAAGTTAATGACCCACATGAATGAATTCGTTGCCCATTGATTGCACAAAAGTACAAGAGCATTGCCGCACAACAAAAACAAAACGAACAAAAAGAAAAAAACCAAAGATAGAGCCAACCCTCACATATCAAGGTGCAGCAGTACACTACAACAACATGTATGTTTATTTATTTATTTGGTTTTGGTAAGTAAGTCAGATGAAACGTGTATGTTTATAACTCTAAGGAAAGTTTAAATGTAAACTCACACGTTTTGAATTTGAATCTTGATAATTTTTTTTGTGTCAAATTGTGAGAGATTTATCTCTTATGAATACTCTAATCTTGGCGTGAATGACTTATTTTGACCGAATCGAAAAAAAAATTAATCGATATACGCGTAAACTAATTCGGTCATCACTGACCATTGAAAAAATAATGTATGTGTTTATAAAAATTAGTCCCCGGCAAATGGTCCCATTATTGACTATTAAAATGTTCACAGCTAAGATATCCTATAGTTTATTTTTATTTTTGTCAATATATTGCTAGCATAATCAATAAACTTCCGATTCATAATAAACTATAATATAAAAGAGGATTCAAAGTCAATATTAGTTCAATGACAATATTGATTGAATTATTAAATTAAGAGTAATATTATTTTGATCTAAAAATATGACTTAATTTACTGACATAATGATATGATTTCATAAAAATTATTAGATCAACACCAAGTTTCAATGTTTGATGGGGTTTACAATGAATCCAAAGGTCACAATGAATTAGATCAACAAATTATATTAATAAATTAAGTCTCAATAATATTACTATTAAATTAAAGGCCAAATAATTTTATTGAAAGATACAATTGAGTTTGTTACTACCCCTTTGCTAAAAGGGTCACATTTTAACTATTTGTGTAATTTTTCGTTGGGAGAGGAGTACTGCCTAGAGAAAAGAAAATGCTACCCCATTTTTATTTTTAGTAATACACAAAATTATTTGAACCAGTTTACGCACACTTCTACTGATCCATCCGATTAAAAGACAGAAAATCTTTATTGAAATCTAAGAAATTTATCAAATTTTAAACCCCTGAGTTTATTGCCTGCTCCTTGTATCCACAAATCCCAATTTTCTTTAACAAAAGAAACCACACCACAAATCCCATTTAACATTCCTCTGTATATATACACACTGCCCAAAATGCCCTTACCAAAGACTTCATTCTTCCATTTCAGACAAAGGATGTTTTTGGTGATTTCAAATTCCCAAAAAAAAAAACACAACCCAAATAAAAAAAAACCCTAAAACTCAACAAAGAAAAAATAAAAAGAAACATTTGTCCTTTTTCCTGAAATAGTGTTTTGGAATTTTGGTTATTTACATCTTCACCTGGGATTTACCGTCACCACCACCCTCACGCGCAATACCTTCGGTGACAGACGCCAGCTTTTCTAGGTTCAACCTCACCACCGTATCAGCAAACAGACGCGTATCCTCCTCCGAATTTCCCTCCGGCACATCCACGACGTACGATTCCAAAACAACGGTCCAGATCCTCCCGTCACGCTTAACCCCATGCACAGTGGTGACCGACCGATAATTCCTCAGCCTATGCTCGCCGCCGGTAATAGTAAACCCGGTGACGTACCGGTCGTCGTCCATTAAATCCAACCTCTCGGTACTGGTAGCCGCCGGTAAACCTGATATGATGTTCACGTCACGAGTCTCACCGGCTGTCATTCTAAAGTCCTCTTTGACGGTACAGTTCTTGATGAAGTGTTTGTAGGTTTGGGGCTTGTCGAAGCGTCGCACGACGGACCAGACAGTGTCAGGTGGCGCGTGAACGCGTTGCGCGAGGATGGATGAGCATTTACCTGTGTTGACTCGGTAGGAGTGGAATTCGGTGATCGATGGTTTTAACTCGTCGAATTCGTCCTGAGTCAGACTTGGTGGGATCGTCAAATGATGGGCTGTAACTGTTTCTTCAGTTTGTTGCTGTTCTTTCTCCATTGAAGTCTCTCCTTTCTCCATTTCCCAGCTACAGTATCTAGAGAAAGGGAATGGAAGGGAGAAAGAGAGACAGAAGGGGGGGTTGGGTTTGAGGGGTTAAAGTCCGTAAGGGAAGAAGAGTGATTGTATATGGATAATTACACCAGGATGTTTTGAAATTTATATTCAGATCTTTCCATATTTGAGATATTATATACAGACATCATGATATTTGTATATATATAATATTTAGGCCCCTGAAATTTATAAATATATAATATTTAGATCGCTTAAATTTAAAATAATATACTTAGATAAAAAATATATTTAATTAAAAATAAAATATCAAATATTTTAAATTTATAATCAAAATTCATGTTTTATTATATTATTTATTAAAATAAAATTAAAAATAAAAATTTATTATTTTCTTAAAAATCATAATTAGTATACAATTATACTTTCTATTAGAATGAAACTAAAAATCAAATAAAGAGTTTAAGTCATTTATAATAGAACATGAATTTTATATCCAAAATTCATATTCTATTATTTCATTTATTGAAATAAAATTAAAACTAAAAATTTAATTTTTAAAAAAAAAAATTATAATTAGTATATAATTATACTATCTATTAGAATAAAACTAAAAAATTAAACAAATTGTTAAACTGTAATTAATACAATGTCTTTTAGTTTTAATTGAGATAGTTTGATATTTTAATTTGGTTGTTTAAACGACCAAATTAAATTCTAATAGATAATATAATAATAAACTAATTATAATTTTTTAAAGAAAAAATTAAATTTTTATTTTTGATTTTATTTTAATAATGATATTGTAAAATTTAAAATATTTGATATTTTATCTTTAATTAAAGTATTTTTGATCAAAATATAACATTTTAAATTAAAGGGTCTAAGTAATATATGTTTACAAATTTTAAGGGAGTTTGAGTGTAATTTATTAATAGATATATTTAGGTTTAATTATAAATTATACCCCAAAAGATCGTTCAAATCTCAATTTGTACCTCCAAAGATTAAAAATCTTAATTTACACTCTCAAAAATATAAATTTGTATCAATATGTGTCCTCAAAGATAAAAAATCTCAATTTGCACCCTCAAAGAAAAAATTTGGATCAATGTGCACTTAAAATTAACTGCCGTCATTTTGCTGCATAAAACTAAATTGATAAATTATATCTACACTCCCTCATACTTGTCACTTAATTTTTTGCACCCCTTCACAAAATAAAGAGTAATATGAAATTATAATTTTTTATTAGGATAAATCATATTTTTTAACGGTTATAAAATTCTAATAAAAATATTCTCAATCAAAAATGTTCCTCCTATTGGGCATTCAAATAATTATGTTTTAAGTGATATATTGCATTGCATATTAAAAACATTATATAAACACTTACATTCTATTGGACATTCAAATAGTAAACTTGATTTTGAATTTTAAAATATATTGGACCCATAAAATAAAGGGTAATATGAAATTATATTTTTTATTAAGATAAAATCATATTTTTTAACGGTTATATTAATAGATATCAACGAAAAAAAATGATGTATTACACATGCACAAGCATCATACGATGTATGAGTAATATTTTAAATGTGAAAGGGTTCAAATGATTAAGTGACAAGTATGAGAAGATGTAGGTATAATTCATCAATTTAATTTTAGGCATCAAACTGAAGACGATTAGTTTTAGGTACACATTAATACAAATTTATATTTTTGAGGGTGCAAATGAAAATTTTTGATCTTTGAGGGTACACATTGATACAAAATTCTATCTTTCAGGATGTAAATTAAAATTCTTGATCTTTGAAGGTGCAAATTGATTTTCAAATAATTTTTCAGAGTGTAATTTATAATTAACCCATATATTTATAGTAATAATCTGAGGGTTAAGCATGTACAAATTTTAGGGATCTGTATGTAATATTTTAAATATCAGGATCTAAGTGATTAAGTGATAAACCTCAAAGGGTCTGTATGTAATTCTCCCGTTATATATTTGTTTATAAGGGTGGGCCATTTTTGGAAATGACAAGGGTAAAGTGGGAATGGAGTTTCTTTTTCTTTTCTTTTTCCATTTTGTAATTATTGTCCCTTTATAATTAGGATAAATTACATTGACACTCTCTTATTGTTTTTGAAACTACATTGACGTCCCTTGAGATGTGATAGATTGTAACAGCTCAAGCAACAGACTCTAAGATATGTGATGATGTAAGCAATTTTTTAATCTAAACTTCCTATTTTGTCCTCAAGTTTGTTTATGGCCTTTAGTTGACACTTTAATATATTACTCAAATCATCTCACGTTGAAACTATCTATTTTTTCGCTCCAAAATAATGTATGCAGTGCAAATAATTACATAGCGTGTCTATTATAAACGTGCCACAATTGTAATCGTATTAATCTTAGTGATGCTTTAACATGTATTTAAACACTCTATAAGTGGCAAATGGTTCAATATTTTTAAAAATCTAGTATTGTTGATTGATTAATTGCTTTGGTATGAGTTAGTGTTTTTGAAAGTAATTATCTATCCATTCTTGATTTGATTTGCTTTCGGTGTGATTCAATATTAAAACGAAATTAATTTTAATAGTGGTTCTATGTTTCTAAAATTCAATTTCATATTTTGGTAAAAAAGAATTTTTACAATTGTGGTATGTTTGTAATAGACATGTTGTGTAGTTATTTGCATTGCACATATTATTTTGGAGCAAAAATAATTGAGAACTTTAATGTGAGAAAATATGAATTATGTATGAACAGAATCTATATAATGCACACTCTTAGGGAAGGAAATCAATGCATATATTTGTTAGCCAATCTTAGAGTCCACCAGCAACTAGGGAGCCTGCTTAATGTAGACTTAGCTAGTACTATTTTTGCTAAGAATTCTATTTAGTTTTGCTTTGTTAACTTTTTAATCTACAAAAAAAAAAGTGTCAACTTAAGGGCAGCAACCAACTTGAGGGCAAAATAGAAAGTTTAGTTGTTAAAAATTGCTTACATCATCACATACAATGCTGTAAACTGCTTGAAGGGATGTCTGTTATAATCTGTCACATCTCAAGGATTTCAATGTAATTTCGTAAATAGCAGTGGGTGCAGTGAAAGTGTCAAAAAAAAACAAGTGGCCGTGTGAATGTAATTTATCCTTACAATTATTGATTTTGGGGTTAGTGGGAGAATATAAAATTAATATTTTTTGCGGGGTTGCAAAAGCCAAAAGGTATCAAGGGTCAAGAGAGACGGGGAAAACGGAGGAAAGGAGGCCTATTGGAGAGTGAATTTTTATATATTCTACTATTGTTTTTTTTTTTTAATTTTTCTTTATATACTTTGAGTCGTATTTAAAGTCTCGGGTTCAATTTGTCACACTTTTTTATTAGTAATTAATAATATTATGTCAATATTTTACAGTTGATATGATATTACCGTTATTTAGAGAGAGAGAGAGAGAGAGAGAGAGAGAGAGAGAGAGGCTTCCACATCATTCCACGGCGGGTCCAGCTACGAAAACCGAACTCTATACCCCAATAACTCCTCACTATATTTTTTTAAGTTATCTTCCTTGTAATCCCCCAAAAGATGATGGCATTGGCAGCTCCAATATCACATGCTAAATTGGTCAATGCTAGCCTATCTGCCCTTCCAAGCGCCACTTGTTATAAAAACCCAGCTAAGCAAATATTTATATAAACGCATGAATGGATATGAATCATCCAACAACTCTTGCAATCCACCATGACCATGCCTTCTTGTTCTCTTCTATTTTAAAAAGTTTCCTTTTTTAGGAGTTTCAATTCTGCCCTTTAACTTTTTTTTATTGATTAATGATTAGGAGTGTCTGCATCAGTTTACACATACATTGACTAATTTTTTTTTCTGATTTAGTCAAAAACAGGTCATTTACACTGGGATTAAATAAATCTCTCATATACTAGTCTTAAGAGATTACTTAAATTTAAATTCATGATGTGTATGATTACAACTCGTCTGTCACCTTTTCATAGACCGTGTAAAAAGTAGTCTAATAGAATATTGGATTTGTGCAAAATGTTTGAGCCAAGTCCCCATTTGATTATGGTTTATAGTGCTTAATGGTGTCTTTTTTGTTTAAAATAATAATTTCTTAAGGTAATTAAGCATCTTATGTCGGCCACAAGATTGGACTTACTTCACTTATAAGGTTCAAGGAATCATTGGAGAGTCATCTAGATCAGCTATGATTTTTTTTTTGTCTTTGCATGTGTGACGAAAGCAATTTGCAGAGTGATCACCTAGTTAATATAAACACATCATAGTAACTATTAGACTGCCAATGGTTCTATACATTGTAATTCTATATCGAATAAGTTATGTCAGATTAAAATTTATTAAATCACATTCAATCCATAAATAATTGATTTGGGTTCATTTGTGTGGATTCGTGTCGTGCATAATCAATATTTATGGAGGTTATGTTTAATTAAGTTCGTTTCACTCATTTATTTGATGAGTTTTTACCATCCAAACCTACTAAGGATAAACAAAAATAGTCCGAGTCAATGGGTTGTGCATAGAGTTTCCCAGAAGACTGTCATAAAAAAATGATAAATTCTATTCCCAAACTCAATGTAACCTCAAAGTTAAGTAATAAATGGAATATAAGAACATAACAACTAACAAAAGTCACCACCAAGTGGGTGGTCCATTAGGGTGTCGATCAAACTTTTCACTCTGAAATTAAATGTTTGAGTTTTGGAGTCTACATTGGAGTTCGGTGGTTAACCATTATGCTAACTTAACTAAGTTCGTTCCCGATAGAAGTGACGGTCGTAGTCAGGAGCATCAGAGTCTCACCAGTGAAAACCCATCGGGGTAATTCCTAAGCACTCTCTTTGCCCCCAAAAAAAGAGCCAAAAAAAAAAGTTTGAAAGTCCAATTACCCCTATATATATATATATATATATATATATGCTTATACCCTAACATATATAGTTAAAGGAGCAGAGTGGGGGAGAGATCCATGAACCAAGTCAAAAGGGTGAAAATGGAGTGGGACTAGCAACCCAATAATCTCATGTGTGGCCAACTTGAAGGCTTTGTGTTCTTCCCATTTCTGCATGTTTTGTCATCCCTATTGTTCTCAAGTTCCTGTTTCTTTGTATTTGGTTGCTTCTGCCTTTGCTGTGGTCTATAAAATTTCCTCTGCACAAGAAAAAGTTGATCATACCAACTAAATTTGTCTATAAAATTTGTCAAAAATAGACCACCTTATGTCTTACCCTTTATGATAATTCGACTCAAGTAGAAAGTAGTGTCAATGTGAAGTGAAAATACGAGTTCAGCGCAGTTGTTATATTTTTTATTAATTTAAACTGACTTTTTTGAACAGTTCTCAAGTATGGAAATTGACATAATCCCGGTATAAATAATTTTTCTTTTCTTTCTCTCCTCTAATCATCAATGTTGGATGAATATGATGATGCATTCATACATTACATAGCTAGTGTGTGACAAATTTCCTATAATTGACTTGAAATATTATGGGCATCTCTTCATATTTGAACTTCTAGAAAATTTTTATGTACCTTTTGAAAAGTTTTTCTTTTTCTAAAATATCTTTTTAAGAATATTAAAAAGATACAAATAATTAGTATTTTATAAAAGTGATCTCTATGCATCTTAGCATAATAATACATTTAATATTTCAAATCGATATGTTTACTACTAAATATGAACAATACAATTGCTACTCAAAAACAATTATAAAAGCCAAAAAAAAAAATACTTAGAATCATTATTAAACGTGGGCTTATTGCAAAAATGTGAGAGGTCATCCATCTTATGTACTTCATAATTTTTCAAAATCGCCTCCCTTCTCACCGTGACTATGAACATCAATTCATACACTTTGATATACAAAAACCTGATAAAAACAAATACTACATTTAATCTTAGAAGATACTACTTTGATGTGCCGAAAAGTTGGAGATATGTTACCTGCAATTCACCCCTATTAATATGGATTTGAGGCATTCGTTTGCTTGGAGGATTTGCATTGTTGAAAGTTGGGTATGAACAAAGAAGTTCTCTTTTGGATCCAAAGCTAGAAGATGCTGTCAAAGACATGTGCATGGCCGAAGTTCTCAATGTTCTGGGTGATTCAATCTCCAAACGTAGCTGAAACAACATCAAAAATCAATAGAGAAATTAAGGCCCAATTTGCTTTATTCCCAAAATCGAGTCGATTTAAACTGTCATTTTCATTGAACCAAAGCAATATAAATTGAAAATTTGAAGGGCATAGAGCGACACAGATTAAGGAATGAAAATCAAAACTTGCATTTGTAATATAGTAAATCACCTGAACAAGTCGTTCTTCAAGAAATGTAATGCGATCTAGCAGTGAACCTTTGGAGTGGACCTGCTGGGCTGCCACATTCAAAGGCATGTATTGTCCCTCCACTATTGTTGAAGAAATATGGCTGCTTCCTACTGATAAACTCTCTTCTCCTCCCATATTTTCCATCTGTCACAACCGTTAAAAGAAAAATAATAATACTATCTAGACCTAATTTACTAACAAAATTTGTTAATCCGATCAAAACGCTTATAAACAAGAATATTCATAATTTAGAGATGGAGAAAAGTTTGTAGTGCTCACAATAGTGTCCAAGCGACCCACTCTTGGCACAAGAGCCATGGAGGAGTGAGATTGTCCTTCCACGCCCATTTGTTGTTGTTGGAGCTATAGGAATTTGGATAGTCTCTGATTTTTTTTTTTAATGAGTTTTCTTAGGTAGTAGGTCATTCATGACTATGAATTTTAGTAAGACTTGAGTAATTCCACTCAAATATAGTAATTTTCTGTTGACAAAAAATATAATGGAACGGATCTGAATGCGAGCTATAGTACTATTGACTAGTTGAGGTTGTTAGGATCTTCCATCTAAATCTGTAGACTTTTTCCTCAATCCGATCCTGATATCCTCCACTGGGTTGACCAACCAAAAGCACCTTCAAGCAATAGGGCCATAATTTGTGACTTTGTTCCAGAACGTGGCAAAGAACTCATGGAAAATATAAAATTATTGGCAAAACCAACATTTTTTCTTCTCTTTTCCTTTGATTAGGTGGTTAATTTCGTTTCTCTCGAGGAACCACTAAAAAGGGTGTACGATATCCAATGCATGAGACTCCCCCGGTATGTAATAAAAAACATTTCACTCCATTTTGAACCCCATCTTATTCTTTTTCGTTTTTGTTTTCTAAGTTTGGAGGTTTCGATAGGTAATCAATCAGTGTGCAGCCACAGAATTGTGAAGCTCGGTCAACAAAACTTTATTCTAGCCCCAAGAGATGAATGTTACTGCATTCTTAGAGCATGAAAAGCTAAAGAGATATTGTCAACATTTTGGATTGAAATTGTCGTTAATGGCGAGACAATGGCGTCAACATTATAAAACAACAGTTTTGTAAAATTCATCCGAATAGATGGCCAGCGCCTAATGGAAGAAAAATGAAAAAAAAAATCATCCCAAACTAGACCTTGTCACCTCATATGCCAAGAAGCAAGCTGCATTTGCTGGAACACTTCTGGCCATGGCAGGTCCAAAACCCTTGTACAATCCTTTGACTCCCTCCGATGCCAAGATTTTTCTTAAAGCATCGATAGATCCAGAGAATTTTGGGTTTTTGTAATCATCAACCTGAATTACACTCTTGATAACATCAGTAGGGTAGACAGAAACCCAGAAGGAAGCCCCGGCCAAGCCTCCAGCTACAAGTAGTGAACCCCTTCCTAGCCCGGAAGTGTCTTGGCCTCCCGCAAGGTACTGCTTTAGGGCTTCATAGACACCAAACATAGCAGCATTTCCAGGTACTTCACGTGCCATAGTAGGAAACAAACCCTTGAATAGACCCCTCGTGCCTCCTGATCGGAGAACATGCCTTGCCACATCCATCGGTCCTCCATACTTTACTGCCACAGCAACTGAGCCTGAACCTGCCAATGCACTTTGAGCTTGCAATCTGCTTTTATGAAGATGTCCCAACCAGTAAATAAGTTAAAGTCTTGCAAATTCTCCATAAATATACCAGAGACGAAATTGCAGAATAAGAAAATAATTGCCCACAGATAATTACATTTTAAAAATAGCTGAGAACAATATAACAAAGAACTTGAGAAGAATTAAAAAAACTATTTGACTGCAACTAAAGAAAAGCATGCAATCCGTTTATTTTGAAACTCTTCAGACAGATATAAAAACGTTTAAGAACTGTGCAATTATATAAAAGACAGTCAGGATTCGTTCGAGACTATTCAATCTTTATTTGCAAAATGGCTAACTGATGCGCGATATGAGTGGCTCATAAAGGCATTAATGAGAATTAGGATCAACTCAGGGCTTACACAGGTACGATGTCACATTTTAAAAGGAAAGAATGCACAATAGCACTGACCTGCACTTGATCAATTCTGTAGGGCAGGCCATAAAAGACACAGCAACCCCAGCCCCAGCCCCAGCAATGATTTGCTGGTTCACTGTAAGGGGAGTGCCGGGTTCAGACCTCAGCAATGCCTCCATTTGTCCCCTAGCTGAGAAAAGGACAGCGTTAAAGGCTGCCACAGTGGCAAGTGGGGCCCCCATACCTTTGTACAGACCCCTTGGGCCTTCCGCCGCTATTGTTTGTCTTACAGCATCCATTGCACCAGAGAATTTGGGAGGCTGGCCAGGAAGTGGAGCGGGCTGGCTTTGGAGTTTGACTTTGATGGTATCAAAAGGGTGTCCACAAATCAACTGTGCTGCCCCTCCAACAGTCCCAGCAGTGAGGTCCTTGGCTACATCACCCATCTGCAATTTTTCATTGAAAGAAAAGAAAAGTTAGCTTCCTACCAAGAAACACTTACGATAGTAGGACTCATGCCTAATCGAGCATGTTATCCCATTTTTAAATTGGTTTATTCTACAACAACAAATGCTAGTTACAATATGTATTCCAACGAAGCAAACTTAGTTATTAGTAAATCCGAAGTCAACAAAGGTACTACCGTAAAGAAATTAAAACCTCGAGCTCAAGGGCACAAACTTATCCAATAAAAAGACCCATATAACTATCGTCATGAACGATATATCCTTAGATAAATATGTAGATATAAACTATCTCATGCAGTCAAACAAATCGAGATATGAAAAAAAGTATGCAGCTATGGTGTATCATAATATGTACAGTAATGGGGGAGTATGGGACAAAAAATAAATCCACTTGATTTTAGACTTGGTACAACCCAATGTACCAAGGTCATCATTCCCTTTGGTTTGCAGCACCAAAAAATAATTTTGAAGGTCTACAAGATCAAAAAATAAGAGATTGTATCAAGAATTATGTACAAAAAAATAGCAAACCATCGTCTGGCGTCGAGGGAATTGCATGTATAATTTTAAAGATGTCTGGAGGGTAGTCTAGTGCACCGGTCTATGTTTTTAAATGTTCCACACAAAATAGTCTTTACAAGAGAAATTACTTGATTTAACTGAAAAACTTAAATAAATACTTGGAACATTTGGACATTGCTTTAAAGATTATGTTCAACAAAGATGAAATTATCAAAGGAACACGCATAGCAAGGGTAGTAGGAGAAGAATTGCACACGAACAGCTTAGGCTCAGCTCAAAAGGAATCATTAAAGTTATTCAGTAGTATCAAGATCAACTTTGATCCACTTGGAATGTAAAAAATTGAGGATTATCCACAGGGATCATAATCCAATCTCTAAAAAACCACAGGAAGCCACTAAAAGAATTTAAATATGCAAAGAAACTGATTGTTTGGGGGAATTAAAATTGCCAGGTTAAGGTCTCTTAGTTAGATTGGTGTATATGCAGGTTTGTTGTAACTGGGAACATATACGGACAGGATTAGGCTAATGTACAAGTTGAAAGGCTCAGGACAGAAAGCTACAGAAATGTCCAACCTAATCTATCCAACCTTGATAGGTCTACCTAAACTTAGGCATAGCTCAAATTTAGTTAAAGCCTAATCCAGAAGCAATTAGATTAGCTGAACATATACAGTAAGAACTGGGAGTCTTAAATAAAGTAGAACATCAAATACAAACATGCAAATCGAATTGAATCTTCTATTGCATTTGCAACTAAAGCAACTTATCTAATCCAGAATATGTCAACTATGCAGTAGCAAGCGAAGTGCAAAACAAAGGACTTTGGTCTCAAATGAGCATATAGCGCATGATCGAAATGAATAGTGAAGATAGACTCATATAGCCGACCCCAAGTAATTGGGACATAAAACTTGATTTGGTTTGGTTTAGTTATGAAAATCTCTCATCACTTCATCATAAGTAGGCGGTAATCAAGTTTGCATTGCAGCAAATTCTTCACTTAAGAACATTGAGAACCACACAAACAAGCGACCGCTAAAAATCACCCCACCCTTTCCCCCTCAAAAAAAAACCCACCTTTCCACACTGCATAACCAACTCAACCAAATTAAACCACTATATTGACATGCATAGTTCATATGCATGTGTCACACACAATGCCTCTAATAGAACTATCCCAAAAGACGAATAACTGACTATTCTGAATGCAACGGGCTCCAAATGTTCATCAAAATACCCAAAACTACTCTCTACAATTAGGCTAATATGGTTGGCTCCATCTTGGGAATAGCTTTAGGCACAGCCTAGATCAGAAACTTCTGCACAAAATTATCTTTGTGGGTATGTATTGTGAGTTTTGACTAAAATAAAGAAAAGGAAACCTGAAGCTATCAAAACCCATAAGACACAAAAATTTGTTTCACCATTGGGTTAAATATAAGAGTTATTAGAGCCGAATGGGGGATATAAAACAATTCCAATGTTAGCTAATATACCTATATACGTACTTATATAAGATATACAGAAGCAAAATCGTATTGCTGATAGTAGAATTAAAAAATCAAACTATACATCACTTTTACAGGAAAAAGGAGGTATGAGAAGGTTTATGCTAAAAGTAAAACTGAGAATATATGACTAAGGGCAAATCGTGTGACGCCATTTACTTATGATCTTAGTTTGAAACTTCTTATATGCTCTAAACACTAGGTCTTTTAGCAACAATTGAAAAGTCAAAAAAACATAATGGAGGACCTCTAGAGGAAAGAAATCAAAATTTCAGTATATCCACATATAGCACAACATAATAAAATCAGTAATCCTAATTTGACAAACTAAGCACCACTTTCATGCGTATTCATTGCACCTCTGCTTGGCAAATGACCGACTTAAAATGAATTCTATTGTTCCTATATCTCATCCCCCAAAACAAACTTCTTTGTATTGAACTTGGTGCGCAGACACAGACTATAGACAACTTCACATACGGCACATAACTGAAAGCCTTACCTTCCCCTATTCTTCTTGAACCCAGACAAAATCTCAAGATGAAGGCAATTAAATCACTTGATCCAGTTTTTGAATAATCTTGGACAATGCAATCTGAGAAGACAATAATAAAAATACCACTTAGATCCAGAGTATACAAATAGGAACAACCCACATAAGAAAAAAGAGAGATTTGATGTTTTAGAGTGGATTACCAACTGAGAACACAGCTTGGTGATACTGGGTCTGTAGAACTGAGAGTTGGGTTGGCAAATAAGATTACTGAATTTTAGAGATTCATAGCCACATGAAGAGAGTATGGGTAGGACAAAATAAAATTGTGGTTGTTCAGAAGTGGATCTCACACTAACATTTGTATATGGAGAGAGATAGAGAGGGGTGTAGCGGATAGGAAGAGAAGACAGGTGCGGACAAGATTTGTGAGCCAATCCTAGCCTCTCTCCCCCTCCCTCTCTCTCTCTCTCTCTCTCTCTCTCTGCCCACCAATTCGGAACAAATAGTACCTTATATAGGTCACTGAACACCCACACACAGCCGATACACAGAGAACAAATAGTACCTTATATGTGTCTGGCGACCGTGAGCGTTAGGAGACTACATCCAACAACAAAAGATTCTCTTGGCAAATTGGCAACCTTGGAAATTTGATTCGGACACATCACCATTTTTTTTTTTTTTTTCTTGCCTTTGACGAGGATTGGGGGGGGGGGGTTGGTAACCTTGTAAAATTGGTTCGGGTCGAATTCGATTCGCATAAAATTTAATTTAAATTTTGGTTCGTGTTCTAAATAAATTAAATTTTAATATTTTTTTTAATTCATTTAAAAAAATAAGTTGAACTTAGACTCGAACCTTTACATATAAAATAATAAAATTCGGTTCAAGTTTAATTTATTTTTGGCTTGAGTCATCTTTTAAATTAACTAAATTTTATAAAATTCGACGCGATAATCAATCCTAAGTGGTCGAGTGTTTTTCTTCTTTTTTTTTATTTGCTGTTTTATGTGCGTGTCTTGCGGTGGGGGTTTTTTTTTTTTTTTGGGGGGGGGGGGGGGGGTTGAGGGGCATGTGGAGGGGGGGGAGACCGGAGGTTGTTCTGCCCTGAAACCCATGACCCAACATGGGCTTGAGATTACGGACCCTAACGGATTTGTTTCCACTAATTTTTGTCATGTTTGGAAATATGTTGAGATTAACCCTAAAATGTTTGATTGATTTTAAATAATCTTATTTTATCGTAATTTCAGCCAAATAAAAACCTAAACCTAATATTTTGTAATCAATCCAGATACCCAATAAATAATAATAATTTAACTATTCAATTTTTTATATCTTTTCCTAATAACCAAACCAAGCCCATACTATTAGCAGAGCTCACTCACATTCAAAAGCTAAGCTCTTCCCTTCCCACACAACTATAACAAAGTTGACAGGAGTTTAACTACCCAATCTAGAGTGTCCACATCCCCTGTTTTTTTTTTTTCGGCCCAACAGTCAAGAATGTCTGGGTCAACTTAAGCGCACCTCCAATTAAAGGAATCACACTTCAACCGTCAATTCCAAATACAATTAGCAGAAAAACTGGGACAGAAAAGGTAACCACAAATGGATAGTAAAAACAAGAATTCTATACAACTGTAGAAGAGGGAAAAACTGTTTCCTCTATAAAACAGGATTCAAATTATTATAGTCTACCCAAAAAAACAAAAAAAAAAACAAAAATCCGGTCAAGCCCTATATTTACAGTTTTGTCCAGGTATACCACAGCCATTAAAAGAAACACTGATACTCCTGATAGGACTCTGAAGCCAAAGCTGGTTTCGATTCTGAAGCAGGCATTGCAACCTTTTCATCTGTCATACGAAGATAAAGCAAGAGAGAGGTCGAGTGATGCTGAGAATTTATCAACGCGTCTGTCATTATTTAAGTTGCTCACCACTGAATTTGATCTCTTGCCTTGGTTATTTTTCTTGTCCACAATCCCAAGGAAGGCAGAGTTGAGTCCCTGTTCTCCCGATTTCCTGCCAGCCCTTAATGAAAGATCAAGATCGAGGCAATTGGATTCCATCTGATCCTTGTCATCTAAGGAATGCATATGATATTCAGAGGAATTGACCTTTAATAGAATGCCATTCACAGGACCTGGATCAGCTGAAGATAGAGACCTATCCACGTTTCTTGAGATCTCTGTGATTTTCTTCTTGTAAGGTTCACCACCTCTCCATAAATCACATTCCATGTCAGGTTTACTGCTTTCTTGGGGACAGGATTGCCAATTTTCTGGCCACCTTTGAGGAACTCCAAGTACTTTCTGCAGGAAGAGCGATCATAAATTGAAAGTAAAAAAATGTGCAGCTTATGTATTTAAGATAAAAGAGCATCGATCAAAGCTCTAAAATACATTTGTTTGCGTGTAAGATCCTGATTAGCAAAAAATTACCTATCCTCAAGCACCAAAATTTATAAAGGAGTCATGGATTTACAATATATGCCAAGGTGTAGTTACAAAACAGTGGAAGAAATTTTTTTAAAAAGCCCTCTTCTTGGAACAATCACTCAGAAAATAACCATTTATGGATCTATCTTGGACAACCATTACCAAAAAGGAGGAAAAAAAGTCAACAGAGATTTACATGGAAATGTGTTTGTATTCAGGTCCGTGACAGAGAAAATATGCTGTTGAAATTTATGCATTTATGTATGGCGCAAGAGCTCCAGAAAGCCAGAGCAACAACTGATTTTATCCTCCACCATGATAATACGCACTTCCATGCTCTCGAAAATTCGAACCAAAAACGATGAGAATAAAGACATCCCCACAAAATACATACCTTCAAAGGACATACTCCTGACCCTAAACACTTTCACTATTGCACAAATATTCAAAAGCAATAGCTAACTAAAGACAAAGTTTCTGACAAACAAAACCACATGGTAGCTGTAAAAAATAATGCTCAACAAGGAGATAATCTGCAACTACCAATATTTTCTTCGTTGTGATATACTCCAATTATTGTATTCTTTAAAACACATATACTTCAACAAGAGAATCATAGTCGTATCTGATCATATCAAATAAAAACACTCTTCAAAAACTCGCAAATTCATGCCAGATACTTCAGAAATGTCTCTTATATGCAAGTAATAATTCCTCTCTTGCATTCAGGAACATATCTGATATGTCGAACATACTCCAGGATCCCCATTGACACATCTTCAATATCAAGCAGTACTACTTGTATGAATTCATAGCTTATAATTTAGGCAAAGCAAAAAAAGGATTCCAAAACTAGGACTTCTAAATGGAGGATTGAAATATAATGAAAGTGTAAGTTAATTTGGTCCCAAAGTCCTGTATAATTGATTAATTGGTCACAGAACATAAACCTTTGATTCTATCATGTGGATTTTCAGATCTTTTCAACAAATATTTAGAATAGTTGACCTCACTGTGCAATGAAACAATTATTCTGCAACATCTTCCTATATTTTGGTCATATGTCTTTTGGAACTAATCGTATCAGCCTACCATATAGCATTACATTGTCCATATCCCTTAGGTGTCCACCCTTTATTAACATGCATACACTTTCACTGCAAATAGTTTATGATGCACAATTTTAAACCATGTGTAACAAAGGACTTATGATGCATACCACATATAATTCAAGCAATGATTTCAGAGTCTCATATAATGCAAGCAATAAGTGGACAAGTAATACTAGAAAGTTTTCACAGGACCAAAGTGCAATAATTCAGAAATTACCAGGGAGGTATTTGTGTGTTGTGTATCCTTGCACAACTGTTCATTGCTTATTGGAATACTTGACAATGAAATGGTGTCATCTCTGCTCAGTTTATGGGCATACTTTGTTTGCGAACCAGAACACCCCTGCTCAAGAGAAGATAGTTCAAGACCGGGACTCCCATTCCTTCCATCAGAAGAAACTGAAGCCGATTCCTGAGCATTGGAGTTAGATGATTTCCGTACATTGCAGTATAGCTTAGGTGCAGATAAACATTCACTTGACAGCCCAGAACACATATTTTGAAACCCAGATGCTGCAGATGAGGATAAATCTTGGTCTGAGAAAACATTATTTAAGCTCGTGATACAAGTTTCCTTCATAATGCTGGGCATGCATTCTGCATCAGTGACCTTCTTTGCTTTGAATACACCCCATAAGAAAAACAACTTATTCCAACCTGTCAAGAAGTAGCATATTGTTGAGAAAATAAAAAAGAAAAGGTGTATGCATAAGCATCTGTGTGTGGAAGATCAATTCTTACGCTGGGAATTTTCTGGGAGCAAGTGCGATGAGAATATTAGTAGTTCAACCCCGCCAAAATTTCCTCTAAGAGCTAGATCATAATTGATCATGCATTCCAACAAGCTCTTATAGTTTCCATAGCTACATTATACAAAAATTAAAAAGCTTTTCAAATAAAAAATCCAAACAAAAACAGTTTTCTCAATATAATGTCTGGGAGAAATCCAAGGCAAAACAAACCTCTCAAGGTCTTCTGCAAAGAAGTACAAGCCAATGCTGTCTTCTCTCGGATAATTTTCTAGGAACTGCATGGGCCATGTACTCATGCGAGGTACATCATACAAAAGGATTTTCTGAGGGAACTTCTTCACAAGTTCAGCAACTTTTGGTGATGCTCGAGTAGATAAGTGGGCTTGAATACGGCAGAAGGAACTGGGAAGTCTTCCATAATTCTGTATTTCAAACCCACCTCTGCACAACATGTGAGCATGAGACATTCTCAAGACACAAGGCAGATCCAAAGTAGGCTAAAAGAATTAAATAGTGTCAAGGATCAAAATTTCGTTTCAATGCATAATTTCAGTTAGCTTGAAAATGGAACTGAGACATTCCGAAACATGCCAAAGCCCATCGCAACATATTGAAACACTCTAAAAACATAGCAGCTTCGCTATTCAATCGATGATTCGTTTCCACTTCCATGGAAACAAAAATGTTTCGGATATTTCGAAACAAAATTTAGTTCCTTGAAAAGTGTACAAAAAGAAAATATTATTGAAAGGAGAAAAACATACTTCCATATATAATCAAGCATTGGAATGGCTGAAATCCTAAGAGCATTTGGTTGATTGCAAATTTTGGGGCCATCCTCCATGCAGTTCCTTTTGCCCATTTCCCTTAGACTTCCTGCATCAAGAACCGGACAAAATGTTGAACAAGATTCTGCAGCATGACCAATAGTGCCAGCAGAGCTAGTCTGCTGCACTTTCTCATCCTGGTTGGATGATTCCCCTGACAGAGGCAGTATATCTTGCACAATTGCATCAGACCCACGGCAATGTTCACTAGCTGCCGGTGAAGAACTATCCCTGAGCTCACCCTTAAGCTTTTTCTCGTGAGAAGAATCAGATGATAGGGGACGTGACGAATCTCGACCTGCATCAGGTAACCAAGTGCACGACCTCTTCAGCATGCCTGTTCCAGCTATTCATCAAAGATAAAGCAATCAGAAACAAAATAATAAAAGAATATGATATAAAGAATAAGAAAGATTGAAATATGTACATACAGGACAATAACATCCATAAATTTGCAGGTAAAGAAGGAGAACCCCTACCAAGATCACTGGGATATTCAGCTTCCTGAGACAGAGGGCGGGCTGGTTTCGATAAATTACTTGAATTTCTAGAACATTGGACACCTGTAGGATCAAGGCAACTGGTTGCACTAGAACGCGGTAATGTTGGTTCACCATGAGATGCAATCTTTTTATCATTTTTTGATGCAGAGACACGAGACAACATTGGTGAACTTACTTGAGGCTTATCAAAGTTGGATGTATACTTCCTTTGAATTGGTGTTCCCTTCTCAGGTCTTAACCTTTTCAAACCCTCAACATGAGAATTGTTTCGCAAAAGCATCTTAGTTTTTGAACCAGCTACACTTGAACATCCAGACTTGACATAATCAAATGACGAAGATTTTTGAATCATTCTGACAGTACCATCTTTTTGTTTATCATTAGCAGCATTCTCTGTTGAAATTTTTTGCTTATGGAGACTATCTCGCTGGAGTTGGGCTTTCAGTTTGGAGTCTGAAATGTTGAATGACTTGGACTTGGTGAGAATACCTGTAACACAGAAATTTTGAAATATGAATACGAAACACAGTTGAAGAATGCCAGTCAAAGCAATGGAAGAAAAAATTACCCTGTTGCCTCCAAACACTTGGTCGGAACTTTGGTGAGCTTTGAACTGAAACACTATGTAAGTTTGCATTTCTTGCAATATTACCAGTATTGTGGTCACTGGATGACTGTAAACCATTGGTTGGCTTGCATTGAGCATCCTGAGACATCATAGATTCCCTGCGGGGACTGGATATCCGAGTAGATCCAAAACATTTTTCAAGAGCTCTTCTTTTCATCAGTGAGACTGAATCTAGATTGCTCACAGGTCTCTTAGCTAAAAATTTTGGAATTGAACTGAATTTCTCTCTTCTGCTTTTCTCAGCATCTGTGTTTCGTTCATCCAAATCCAAACAAGATTTGATATTACCAGTACTTGAACTACCAGCATTTTGGTATAGTTCAGCCATAGTCGATCCTTTCGGAGTTCCAACTACTTTCTTAAATTCATTTTGATTCTGATTCTCAGTTTCCTCCAAAAGCATGCATTCTTCACACATCCAATCACCTTCAGGAACTTTGTCCAGTCTAATGCGCATGCAGTAACTAGTTGATGGAAAACAATATGTAAATTTTTACCCTAAAAAGTCATAAGAGATAAAAAAAGAAAAAAACGAAGGAATGGAAAAAAAATGGTTGTAGAATAATAGCCATCTAAAGGACAAACTATATGGCTTACATGTGCTCTGCACCATCACCACATTTCTTACAAGTAGCAAGCAAGTGTTCCCGACCAGCATCCCCACATATATCACATACATTTACCTGATTCCAAATGGCAGCAAGCACGCAACGTTATTGCAGAGATTCAATCACAAAAGAACTCTTACCAATGAAATGTTGCCAAAGCAGGAAAAAAAAAATGCCTTTACACCAATGTGGAACAAAATGATCACACTTCAATTTAAACAGTATCATTAGTGATGCTGTTCAAGAGATGCATGATTTAATTTATCCAAACTTAGTCAACTAAATAGACAGTAATCATAAGCATACATCACAAATCTGCAATTGTTTTTGTAAGTCTCAAACTCCAAAATGACTTTGCTTGGCTTTCATAAATTTTTCCCACTCTCCGAATGCAAAAAAGGAGAAGACTACAAGTCCCGATGAGATGTAAACTACAGATAGCAGACTATATGCATCTGAGTGATGTGTAGTTGATACACAAAATAAATTTAGAGAAAGAAAAATCCAAAAACAATCATGTTCAGATCATTGAGATAAATCCCATTGATTAACCAACCAATTTGCACCAAGAAATTCAAAACCATTACGGACACTATAGTAAAAATAAAATAGTACAACTTACAGATGCTCTGAAGCCAGTTCCTCAGGATGTGACCAGTTTTATCAAATTATAAATAAAATGGCTAACTGTACTAGGACCAGCAATTAGAAATTTAATAATATGAAATAGTAAATAAAGCATACTTGCTTGATTAAATAAGATTGCATGCACAGTCCATGCTAGTAGTAGGTTGTAACCACTGACCAGAATATTAAAGAGCTTTAAACAATTTCTGCCTAAGATTTTTGTTAATTTCCACTCTTTATAAATATCAAAATGTTTCTCATCTATTACCACTTAATTCCACAAGTCCAATCCACTCAATTAACAATCTTTCAACCCTAGCCACTTTTAAACCATATAACGTGATTTTACTGTTTATGGTACTATTAGCAGCCTTTGTTCGCGCACAAACCCTCTTGTCCCTAACCTTGAAATAATCAACCCACTCCTTCAAAAAACCTGATCCCAATAGCCGACATATTGTACAAAACCCACCCCTAATGGCTACATACTTATAAGCTGATTCTCCTACTTCTACTAGGAACTAGATCTACAGAGGCAATTCGGTACAGGAAAAAGAAAAAGACATCAGCAATAAGAACAACCAGGAAGTTGGATCAATGTTCTTCAATAATCATTTGTAAAAAAATGACCCAAGATTGGGCTTGACCTTCATAGACAGGTCACCCTATTAGGCCTACACAATTGATATTATCCCAAATGACCCAAAATTGCTGTGTACCTAAGTTGAGACCTTAGTCATGAATTGTAACCTAAACTAAGTTAGTCCAGCAGAGACTTGTATCTTCCAGATCCATATCATCGTCCAAAATCCCTATATTTACATATCAAAATCAACTGCTATGTCAGCAAGACAAAATTACTTGTTTCTCCATTTTCACTCTGCCTATTGTCTGTTACATCTCCACCAATATATATGTCACGGCAGATATAAAAATATGTGTACCTAAAAGTCCATCAATTGTATAAAATGAGTCAGTGAATGTTCGAGCTTGTGCCATATAGCTATAATAGCACCGCCAAACTAGTATGGAAACCTTGTGAGCCTATCCACTGATTGTCAATTTGTTTTTAGTTGTTTGTTTTCGTATGTTATCAAAGTTGGTGTTATCAAAGTTGAGCCTCAAGACGCTTTGGGCAAGCCTCTTTGCTTCAATTTCACTGATTTGATATTGGTTCTTCGTATCTTTGTGTCATTTAGTGCAACTAGCTATGACTCTAGATTATGTATTCTGATTCTTTTGTCTACCTATTCCCGAGGGGGTGGACATTGCACATGCAGACAAGTGTTAAGCTTGTCCCGCATCAGATAAAATAATGCCTCCCAGACTAGTATATAAGTCTTGAGAATATCTTCACTCATTATCCATTGGTTTTGACTTGATGCTGCAACAATTGGAATATATGTGGGATTTTTTTTTTTTGGGGCGGGTAGTGGGGAGAGAAAAATGATGGCAAGGTAATTATATAGCAGGAAGTACACAAAACTAGTAAATAGGTAACTCTTAGCATGACCCTAAGTCTACCCTGGGACTCCAAATACTCAATCCTAACCAACTCTAGGATATGATGAAGCCCCTGCATGATCAAATGCTATCATGGAGCCCCCATTTACTAGTAATGTTGCCAAGAAACTACTGAATACCCTTTTATTGAAAATAGAACTAATCGCACTTGTAACTGCTATCCCATTAACCTTTCTTGCTTCCTAGACATCATTAGATAAGCCACCAAACCAATTACTTGCCACCTAAGAGCAATATGAGTGCTAGTGAGTACATTATACCTGCAAATAACAAGACAAACTGGCTCGTGTTCATTGTAAATGCTTGTGTTATTGGTCAATTTTCCAGTCCCATAATAACAACAAAATAAAAATAAACTCCCTAATCTCATTACATGATGGTATGGACAACACAACTAAGTATCTTGTAAAATAATCCAAAAAGGAAAGAGCACGTACATCCACAAGATCTGATTCACCATTACAGTAGTAAGGGTGAAATTGCACAGGAGGATCTGATCCATCTTCATTTACTTCTGAGCATTTCACATCTTTGCTTGTTAGATCCTCTTCAAATTTGAGTTTTACAGATTCAGCACTGTCAAGTGCATCATGATTATGATCCTCAGTGGTAACAGTTTCCAATCTCATGGAAGTTGATTCCATTTGGTCCACAGAGCATTGAGAGATATCTCCCTGTAAAAAAGAGTAGGAATTATATTTCTATTCGGTCAAGTAAGAGAAAGTAAATTTTCACTTATAAAGTTAATCCAACTCCAGCAACCTTACTGGAGTAGAACTAGCATAAGCATTTTTTAAGGAATAAATCTCAGATGGGTCTGATTTGTCAGAAAATAGTGCAGATTCTGTAAAGATTCTTTGGTGAAGTTGGCTAACCCAATAGAGCTATTGTACCCCACTTTTACTTCATAATGATCACCAGCCAAACAACATGGTGCTGATTGAACACCATCTGCCTCCACACCTCCTTTTAGGAGAAAAATATTAATGGAAACTGCATTACAATGCATATTTTCTGTCATCATCGCGGTAATTATTACTAACCATCACTCTTGGCCGTTTAGCTCTGGTCACACATGAAATATCACCAACGTTGCATTCTGAATTCTTCCGCTTCTCTAGCTGATTGGAGAAGATTCTATCATCTGAAAGAACTTCTGGCTGAGAAAAGGCACAATCTTCTTCAGCAGTTTGAACTGCAGCTACCTTTGAAAGCATTGACATGCCATCCACACTATCAGAGACCCTCAAACTAGCTTTACTTTCCATTTTTCCAGAGAAAGAATAATGGCTTGAACAATCACTGAGAAACTTGTTTGTATCATTACTCATATGATGTTGATTATTGCCTGATCTGCCCTTAATAGAAGAAAATGAATCAGTGTCATTATAGGAGCATTGACGAGCAGCCTCTCTATGGCAAGCCTCATTTGTTAACATGTCGGATTTCAATCCCATTAATGGTATTCCAAGGTTACAATGCAAACAAGAAGAAAATATGGAGTCGCAAACATTGCGCGCTGCAAATTGTTTCTGTAAAATTTCCCTCTGTGTAAATTCCAATCCCAGATAATTCCTGACATCCAAAAGGCAGAGAATTCGTCACCAAAAGAAGAAAATAGCATATCAACAGAATCAGCATAATTTACAAAATAACAGATAAAGAGTTGACAATAAATGATGAGAACACAATAATAGAGAAAGCGTTGGTACCAGATTCAGCAAGTTCAAGAAATTATGGCAGTGTTGTTACAGAAAATTCCGAGCATGGTTGATTTGGATAAATCATTTCAGACTGAGCACTGACAAATCTAATGAATGAGCAGTTATGCATGAGGACAAGTTAATAAGCTTCACAGAGCTGCATTAATCACTTGAAAACTTCAGGGGAGTGAATGTACACAGTACATCAAGTGGGATACATGTCATAATATCACCCGGTAAAATTTGAAAGACAGCTATCTCAGTGAGGCTTTTTAGGAAACAAAGAAACTATAAAATTTTCAACCCACATCATATTCTAGCAACTTAATATCTCCCCCACCACCACCAAATCCATCCCCCCCACCCCCCAAAAAAAAACTGTTTCCTAAACGTATGCACATATGTGCATGCATGCATAATACATATAAATAACTAAGGGAGTGCACATAAATCACACGCCATAGTATTCTATTGCTTTGAAAATATATCAAACTTAAAGAGGGGGTGATCTCCGATTGCCACTTATAAATAGACAACATTTCAAAATGAACCAGAATAGGCAATTTCTGACTGGAAAATTATGGACCCTTTCCAAAGAAACATACTCCAATCCAGCCAATTAGAGAGAGATAGAACGCAAAAGAATTTAATTATATACTGGCATTCTCAGTTTCCATCAAATAGCGGTGCATTAGATGTCTTGTGATTAAACCAAATGAATAAACAAGTAATATGCAAACATAAGAAAATACATGTAAATTATACCTTAAGATGATAAAATTATCACATTCATCCGAATGACACAATCTGATTCATCCACTCGCCCTTGAATGCCACAATCACCATTCAATACTGGTGGAATCTGAAAGGCATACCATACATAATGTTAATAACCCTCCCGAAAAATTCATAACCCCTTAAATAATATGAAAACTTTCGATAACAAGATCACAAGTGCAGTGAAAAATAATCACGCTGGCATACACTGGTCTGAGCTATAGCAGGCCCAAATCCATCCAAATTACCCTCCCAAAATTGAATATTTCACAAATTAGAATAATAATTATAGGATGTAGGACAATCTAATCGAGATTACACATTACATAAGTTGATATTTATAAGACAAGACAGACAACTATTACAGCTGTTGCCAAATAAACCATCTATACAAGATTGCACATCTCTTAAATTACAGATTATAAAACAATACAATCTACCCAAGATTACACATAACGCAAACATAAAAATATGGAAACGATCAAAATGCATAAAATATGTAACATGTACACATAAAAGTATATATCCCGTGAAATTCAGTTGACACTGAAATAAAAGTAAAAAAATTAAAACTAAAGCCTGAACATACACACTGCTACTGATCCGGAAAAGCAAGTAAATCCTATGGGACATGTGCCTAACCCAAGTATCAATTGATTCAATTCCCTACTAATCTAGACTCTACTCCCTTTATGCTTTAAGACTTCCAAAACCGTTGAAGTTTTGTTGAATCTTGTAAATCGAAAAAATTCAAACGTTTCACAATGAAATAAAGAATTTGAACCCCAACAGGAAATAGTTTAAACAATTCTCTGAGAGAGAGAGAGAGAGAGAGAGAACACAGCAATGCAAGAGAGCTCAATTTTTCAAACTAAGAACAAAACCATAAAAATCACATACAATCCATCATCATCATCATCATCATCATAGGAACCCTACCCAATAAATAATCCAAGAAGCAAATTCTCAAAGCTTTACCCAAAAATGGGAACGATTACGGTATAAAAAATCTCATCTTGGGACCCAAAACGTATGGTCAAACAAAATTAATTAAACAAATGAATCCAATCAAAAAAAATGGTCCCCAACCCAATTGAGCGTGTGTGTGGGGGGAGAGAGAGAGAGACCCAATACCATAACATCCATGCCTTTTAAACCTCTTCAGCGACAAAATATAGCTCCTTCCAAGCGTGATGTTTTGGTATACAAGAAGAAATGAATGAGACAACAGAGCACTCTACAGAGAAAGGGAGAGAGAGAGTTTTATGCAAAACCCAGGGCAGGTCCCCCTTTTCTTGGCTTGCTGTTACGAGAAATTTCTCGAATCATTTCACTAGGAACTGCAAAACAACGTGTTCTTTACACCCCCAATTTTTCTACACTTTCTCTCTCCTCAGTTCACGTCCAACTTGAATTCAATTTCTTACCATACTTGCTTTTCCTCGTAGACCAAGATATTTTCATTGACAAATGCCTGGTCTACCAAGCCTCTTACGATAGATAATACATCGCAAATAGTGTCACAGATTGAGAATCCGTAAATGGTTAGTAAAAGTTTATCGGATCTATTAATTCTATAATTTACATTAATTTAAAATTAAAAAAAAAATTGATAAAAGTTTAATGGATGTATTATTTTTTATTTTAATTTTTGGGTAGCACTAAGGTACCCAAAAATAATTTTAATATCATACTAAATATTATAAATTATAAAAATAAACTTACTATTTCCAAAATAGAAATTACAACTAATTAAGACTAAAAAATAAATCTAATTTGTTAATATAATGATGTATTAAATGATAGAGTCTCAATAAAAAAATTAAATAATTACAATCATAATAATGTATTAAATTATATCATTGTCACATCATTAAATTAAGTTAATTTTTAAGTATCAATAACATTACTCTTATGATAATAATTAATTATCCTTAAAAGTCTTCCTTTACCGCGGGGGGGGGGGGTTATAATTTCTTCTTGACAAGTTTTAATTTAACTTTAGAGTCCTAATTTTTATAATTAATTGTAATAATTTGGGATTAATCATATATTTTATAGTTATAACTTAAGGACTTGGTTACCGTACAAAATAGAAAAATTTATTCCGTACTTTTAAAATTTATTACTTTTATAAGTATTTTTCCAATTTTGTAAATATTTTTTATCACTATATATTAAATTACTATTTTTATCACTTTTTTTTGGTACCATAATAGTAGTAAAAACACCGACAATCATGGTAAAAAATACCCATAAAAATTATAAATATCGATATAATACCAATTTTTTTTCCGCCTTTAATTTTGTTCAATTTTTATTTCCGTTAGTTTTTTAATTGGTCGTTCAAGATCTGATTCGAAAATCTAGGTGAAGGGCATAATGACATGATTCATCGAACGGTAGGAATGTAAAGTACATGTACGCCTGTTACGTAGGACCACAAAATTCTTATTTTAATGCAGCGGGTAAATTAAGCAAAATAAGGCGGGGCGACACGTGGCATGTGATCTGAAGCGTGTGGTTGTTAATAACACTAGTGATCTCCACGAGATTAATCGTATATTTAAGTTTTGGGTAAACTTCATCTAAATAAACTTAATTTCAAAAACACCCTTTATAATTTTAAAATTTCACTGACACCCTTTATGAGTATTGGGTCAAGTAGTAAAGTGACAAAACTGCTCATTTCATCAATAGCCGTAAACTATAAAATAAGTAAGCGTCTCTAGACCATATAAGTGCACGTTGAGTCCATGTGAAGGGTTTAGTTGAGATAAAGGATTAAAATATCGTTTTGAAATGGTCAAAATATCTTAAACGTTTTCGTTTATAAAGAGACCGAAACGAATTAATAATGAAATTGAAATTCTAATACTTCGGAGTATTCCATAATGTTTTGAATTATTTTGTTATATTTCAATGCATTTGAACAATTATTTTAAAAATATTTCAAGATTTTTTGATATATTTTGATCAATGTTTTGAAAAAAATAATTCTTAAATTTTTATTATTTTTAATTCTATTTTTGAAACTGATTGAAACGTTTCCGAAATATGTCAAAACATTTTTTATTTTTTAAGTGACCGAAATAATACACTGAAACAAAATTTTGGTCCTTAGTTAAGATATGTCAAATTCCATCAAGTATACAAATGGAGCCTATAAGCAACTCAAATTGAGCCATCGAATCTCATTAAGACAACTCCAACGGCTTTTTTTGGCATCCCCTCCTCCTCCAACAGCTATGTCAAATATTGACTGTGTTGGCCAAATTTGACACACTATCAAATATTTCATCTATCATATCAAATCCCGGCATATCTCAACTTCCTACTCATGTATCACATAAATTTAGTATATAACATTTGACATATCGATTAGAGTGTAAGGTGAATCTGTCAAATGTTATATGTCAAATTGTCACATATGCCTTCAAATTTAAATTTGATATATAACATTTGACATCTTCCTTAAAGATGCTCTCACCATTCATGTCTTCCGATTATATCTTCCAAATTGTCTATATTAACAATTCATCATTCCTCCTCCAGAGAGGAATTTTAGTACATAACCAAAAGTAATACTTAGGTTAAAGGTCAATGTGGTAATTTTTCTTACATCTGCCCCTCCTAAAGCCCAGGTATCATATACCCCCAAACTTTATATATATACGAAAAGAACTCCCCCTAACTCACCTAATTCGCCACCCCCCGTCACCACCCCAATTCCAAATTTAAATATTAATTTGGTATTATTTTGATAAAATTAAATATTAATTTGATAAAAATTAATATTAATTGATTAAATTTGAATGTTACTTTTATGAAATTGAATATTAATTTGGTGTTAAATTAAAAAAATGATATTAATTTGATAAGATTAAATGTTAAATTAATAAAAATTAATATTCTATTGAATATAATTAAAATTTTATTTGATTAAATTAAATATCAATTTAGTGTTAATTTGATAAAATTAAATATTAAATAAATGAACCTAAAGGTTAATTTCGTGTTAATTTTAAATTGATAAAATTGAATCTCTCATTGTAAATCAAAAAATTAGGTAAAAATTCATTGATGTTTTTATGTTGATTTGATGAGTTATGGTGGTTTTTGGGGATGTATCTTACTAATTTGGTAGGGATGGGTTTGTGTTGTTTACAATGGTGTGGCGGTGCAATGACGTGCAAATGAGGGGAGATATAGGGGGTGAAGTGACAGTGAAGAAGAAAATGATAAAATTAAGATGATATCAAACCTTTTTTAGCTGTTGGTAATGGTTTATCACGACAAGGGGTGCAATTAAAGTGTACAGAGTGTAATGAAATTTTAGAATTGGGAGCGCGTATCGTTGAAGTTAGGTCTATTTACAGGGAGTGTGGATGAAAATTTACCCTTAATTTTTAAGGGAAATTATAGGAGATGAAAGATATGAAAAAATTTATCTCTCATGAATTCTCTAATTTTAGTGTAGATTGTCTATCTTTGATCGGATCAGGAAGAAGATTAATTGAGGTGCGGATAAAGGAACCCGAATACCCCTGACCGTGGTAGATTATGAGTAACTATAAATAATTATAGGGAGTTTTGATTAATTATAAAATAAGAAAAATGTGTTATAGTATTTTAAATGTGGGCACAAACTCCCCTCTTCTCCCATTATTAAGTGTGTGTTTAGGCTGCCATCACAAGATTGGATTGGATTGGATTTTAAGCCAAATTTCATTCAACCCAATACAAAGTAATCTAACGAATTTTGGATCCAATGCACGTTATTCCATCCGATCCTTGATTTGGATTGAAAATAATGTGAAGCATGAGTCTCATACACGTCCAAATCAATAGAGAGAGAGAGAGATAGAGAACATGGTTTTTGAGCTTCTTCGTCCACAGCAAAAAAAAAAAAAAAAAGGGGCGGTGAGGTGAGGAGGAGGTGAAAATGGGGTAAGCTTTTAACACTACTGACTCCTATTTAAGGGCACAAGGGTAAAATTGGAATTAATCCTGTTGATAGAAAATTCGGATAGATAAATCCCACACGACATCTCGGTTTAAAATATCCAGTTTAGATGGAATAAAGTCCTTCAATTAATATGGCTAAGTTTTTTTTGAACCCAACGTTTATCCCATCAATTTTTACGGAGCCCAAGGATATTTGGACCCCCGGATACTTTAAACCCAGCCCACATGTCCTATTCACCTTATTCTATCAAACCAAACACCTCTTTAATAGTACGGGATACGTGAACAAATAAAGCCGAGACGCGCGTGTAATACCCCGGTGACACCCCCCCCCCCCCACCCCCCAAAAAAAAAAAAAACAAATCACAAGTTTATTGAAAATACTTTTAGAAACCAGTACAAAATTTCAATGTGTATTACGCATCCATAGGTGTACTGTTAATCTAAAATTAGAAATATCAAAACAAAGTAATAGAAGAAAATTAGCAACAATTTATGTAATGTAGGGACAAAGACATTTATCTACACACTTGTAAATTCACGTCTAAATCATCCGTTATAAGTTGAATAAACTTTTACAGAATAACATATAAAATTTTCTCCCTCGTCACTTACAAACATTAAATGAGAAACTTGTGATATGATATTTTCTTTATCACATTATAAGACTTTCACAATTCCTTAAAGAAATCAAATACAAGTCGTTTTCAAACATATGCTCATACCCAACAAATAGAATTTAGACCAATTAGTTTAATGATTATAACTTAATACTTAAGTTTAAATCATGTTAAAAAAAGTCTCATTTTAATGTCTTTGTTATGTTTCGTTTGGTATGATGAAAAAATGAAAGGATTAAAAATTAAAAAGATGAAAAGTTGGAGATATAAATAAAATATCATGTTTAGTAAAAAAAGAAAATAGGAAGGATGAAAAAATAGATGAATAAATTTTTTTCTAACTCACTAAAATTAATTTCTCTAAAATTGAAAGGAAAGTGGATAAAAAGTTAATTATTTATATTGAAATGTATCATATTTGTCGATATATTCTTTGATATATACATATATTGTCACGCCCCATTTTGGTCTCTCAAGGATAAGACGCGACTAGATTTTTGATACACCTGTTTACGTATATATAATTTAGATTAATAAAATACCAAATAATCTCACAAGTGCACCAACACCCCTTATCACTTTAGTCGCTAAGCGTGATGGTAATATTTTTTTTATAACATGTATCATATATAACACATATACCATTTCTATTTTTCATGTTATATACATGTACAAAATCCACACCCAGATAGTATACGTTACAAAGTATGTTTGCTGAGTGTATTTACAAATATATACACAATCACCTATTATAATAATCCCTCACTCCATATAATAAACAACTTGAGTAATATTACACTAACGTTGTACAAGACTCAATCAACTGGACAGTAGACCGGTCTGCATCCTCCTCTAAAGTACCTAAAAAGAAGAAGCTATAGGGGTGTGAGCTAAACA